TGATTTCTTTTGTTTTTAGTTTTGTCTGCGCAAAGGGGTTATATATGTTTTCTGGTATTGGTTGGAGTGTATGATTAATAGCGCAGCTTGTGCTATTATTTATATTGGTTGATATGTCTGCAGACCAGGACTGAGAACAAGGAAGAAATCTGCCCCTCACAATGTTTGGTTCAATGTCTACAATGGCAGGAGCCCTAAGCGAGGTTTCTAAACCACCTCAGGCAGCACAGAAAAGTAAGGCCATTCCTTTTCCCAGGAGTCTAGAAGGGCAGACAAAGCAAAGAACTATTAACATCCCATTGCACCATCCCGGGGTAGAATTGAGTTAGTGGTCCAGGGAGCATTTGCCCCCAAGACCATTCCTAAGTGAATATCTGGCTGAATAGAGACCATCCAGACACTGATCAGTCAGTGACACATGCTGAGCAGTGGTGTCCCTAGATTTTTTTCTGCCTGAGGCTGGTGTAGTGGTGCACAACAGTGACGCCTCCCTCTGCAGACCTGTGATGCTCTGGCCGGAGTCCCGCCCAGCTCCTGGCAAACAGTGACGTCATTGGTTGCCAGGAGCTAGGCAGGACACCGGCCAGAGCATCCAGGCAGCTGGTTCTTAGCAACCTGGAATGCTCTGGCCGGAAAGAGGGCTGCAATGTGAAGCAGAGCGGCCACTATACAACAAACACACCGCTCTGCCTCTAGCCCCCACACGTGACCCAAAGAGATGCCACCTGAGGCAACATCCTCAGGCTGCCTCAGTAAAGGGAAGACCCTGATGCTAAGCATTATATAGCTACCTGCAACCTGTTCAGACCTGTGTTTGCAGCGATAGAGGACATCTTCCAGCACTGACTTGCTATACAACTCTATAATGTCATGTGACCAACTGCCAAGAGCTGCAAAGGAAGCTGAAGGTGGAAGTTGTGAATCTGTACCTATCGCAAAAGGGCAAGTTGGGTATATTTGCCCTCTAGGCCAAAGGTTCCCAGCCCTCCCCTGGGACATCATTTAATTTAGTGAAGTCAGAAGCAACAGGAAAAAGCTGACATTTTGCTCCTTCTGCCATCAGGACTAACAAAATGACTTAGACTGCATAGCCATTGACTGGACATATATTTCTCTTCCCATCCCAGAAATGCCATGTCATAAAAAGCTGGGATTGTTACTCTAACCCCCAGGAAGGACTGGTTCAGTTGGAGGTATTGGTGATGACTTTCCTACTTCTATCTCCCAATCCTGAAGCTGGAGTCATTACTCTAATCCCCAGGAGGGACTGGTTCAGTTGGAGATGTTGGTGAGGACTTTCCTACTTCTATCTCCCAATCCTGAAGCTGGGGTCATTACTCTTACCCCCAGAAAGGACTGGTTCCATTGGAGTTATTGGTGAGGACTTTCCTACTTCTATCTTCCAGTCCTGCAGCTGGGTTAATTACTCTAACTCCCAGGAGGGACTGGTTTAGTTGGAGTTATTGGTGAGGACTTTCCTACTTCTATCTCCCAATCCTGAAGCTGGAGTCATTACTCTAATCCCCAGGAGGGACTGGTTCAGTTGGAGATGTTGGTGAGGACTTTCCTACTTCTATCTCCCAATCCTGAAGCTGGGGTCATTACTCTTACCCCCAGAAAGGACTGGTTCCATTGGAGTTATTGGTGAGGACTTTCCTACTTCTATCTTCCAGTCCTGCAGCTGGGTTAATTACTCTAACTCCCAGGAGGGACTGGTTTAGTTGGAGTTATTGGTGAGGACTTTCCTACTTCTATCTCCCAATCCTGAAGATGGGGTCATTACTCTAACCTTCAGGAGGGACTGGTTCAGTTGGAGCTATTGGTGAGGACTTACCTACTTCTATCTCCCAGTCCTGAAGTTGGGGTCATTACTCTAACCGCGAGGAGGGACTGGTTCAGTTGGAGTTATTAGTGAGGACATTCCTACTTCTATCTTCCAGTCCTGCAGCTGGGTTCATTACTCTAATCCCCAGGAGGGACTGGTTCAGTTGGAGTTATTGTTGGGTATCTTTCTACTTTTATCTCCCAGTCCTGAGCCTTATACTCCAGTAGGGTCATTTCCATGCAGAGGCCTGAAAATCCAAACTGGCTACTGGGCTAAAAGGCAAAAATTACTTTTCAGGGTCTTTCTAAATGGGCGGTTGAGGCCTCACTGCTTTCTTAAAGACCTTCAATATGCAAAGCCTATTGTCAAATTTGAAGTATTTCCACTCATTGGTGTAGAGACAGAGATCTTCTGCCTTTGAAATAACTACGCATTTCACTTTTGCTGTTGCTCCAAGATGGGCTGGAAAAAACATTGACATGAAATATTCATAGAGTATGATACTGGGTTGTCTGTGTCAGCTTCCATCAAGCATTAGAAGATAGACATGCTGGCCTCTGGGGTTTCCATCTTCGGTACTGCTGCCTTGCACAAACTCCTTGATATAAGTTATTCTCTTTCCTTTTTTTAGAGCTTGTTAAAAATTGCTTTTCTGTGCCGCAGAGGATGTAGAAGAATCTAAAAACGTGCCTTAGAAATGTTCTAGTCTCATAGTTCGTAGGCAGCTCAGGCTTATCCCTCCCACATAAAGTGTGTAAAACCATTTGTGTGTAGGCATACCCAAATTTACCACCAAACCTCCCTCTCTCAATTGGCGTCACAAGGGGGGTGCGGCCCGCACCCGGGTGACACCATTGGAGGGGTGACACCAAAATGACTCACAGTCATTTTGGTGTCACCCCCCTCTGAAAAGACGGGCGCTCGGTCATGGACGACAGTATCAGGAGAGAGGAGGGGACCCGGCGGCATACCTTATCCCGCCGGGTGACTGTCCCCTCTTCTCTCTGCCGGTGTCCATCACCAAGATGGCCGCCGGCAGGTATCAGCATTCGGGCGCGCGTGCGCGATGACGTCATCGCGCACGCACGTGGTGATGTCACGCGCATGCGCAGTGACGTCTCGGCAGGGTGACACTCGGTTACCGCTCAGGGTGTCACCCAGCCTCGGGACACCCCTGCCTCTCCCCCTTTAGAACATGTCCCATTATTATATTTTTTCTTTTACCTAATTCCTTTTATGATTCCCACTTCCTACTGACATAGACACACCTCCAGAACTACATCCCCAATGAGCTTTTTTCCTACATACATTTTGTTGGCAGGCTCTTAGGAGTCAAGGCAGCAGCATTGTTTTGCTGGGAAAGAAATCAAAGTATGCAAATGAACAGGGGTAGGCATGGGTGGAGTTCTGTAGTCTGGCAGATAGGGCTGCATTTTAGTGCAGCAGAGGCACTGTCTTGTGATCCCTGACAGGAAGCTAGAAGCTCACTGGATTTCTAACAGATCAACTGGTATTCTTCTGTACTCACTGTGTTTTTAATGAGGTAAAACACGGGGAGCTGTGTATGTATTGCAGAGATGTACAACATACATTTTCATTTATTTTTACCGTGACATACACTTTTGGGGTCTATTTATAAATGTTTTCACATATGAGTCAATAAACTTTCACCCAGGATTTAAACATTTTTAAAAATTGATTTATTTGGAAAAATGTGTGAATGCCGAGGGAAAGTTGTATGAATCTTGTGTAAAAAAAAATATAAATACCTGTTTTATCTCTGTATGCTGTATCTATATTGCTGCTTTAGTAGGCCCCATTCACACTTGTGTATCTCGCAAATGCATGCAAAATTGCACAGTGCTTTACATACTGAACATCAACATCAGTCCCCAGCATTCAGGAGCTTACAATGTAAGGTCCTTATATCACATTCACATTGAGATGGGGACCTTAGAGAGATAGGGACCTATCTCACATTCACACGTGGCCGATTTTAACAGGAGACAATTAACCTTCCAGCATGTCTTTGGAGTGTGGGAGGAAAGCAGAGTAGCTGGAGGAAACCCACGTGTGGGAAAAATCTTCCAATGGGGACACATATTCTAATGACAATTGTCTAAGATGGGAATTCCTCTCATTTAATTATAATTTTTTCTTCCTGTTGCATCTCTGGGACAAAAAAATGAAGGGAAATCTTCCCAACAGGACACAGACAGTAAAAAATAACCTGACAGGGGTTTCAACAACTGTAATTAAAGCCCAGCTCCAGGGAAACAAACAAAGTACCCTTGTAGTGGGGCTATTTCCACACTGCAAGGGTAAGTGCTAAGCTGGAGTAAAGCATATTTACTTTCCTGATCCCCGCTTCCACTGGTTGCCTCTGGGCTGCTAGACCGGTCCCTACAGCCTCCTCTCCCCTTGGCTCAAGCAGTCTAAGGACCACTGATGCCATCATGTCTAATGTAGGTTCCATAACCTGCATTAGAAGTGAGGATGCCAAGGGACATACCACCAGCGGCAGTGAAGGGGGAGAAGAGGAGAGTACTGACCACTGGTGGAGCAGGGATCAGGTAAGTACATTTGCTTTACTCCAGCGCCTAGAAAAAAATGAGTACTTAAAGGAGAACTATGGGGTTAGGGCTTTTGCCCATAGTTCTCAGGGTAACATACTAGCGTCCTCCTGTCACCCTAAGCTCAGTATACCGCGAGCTACAGCTCACTATATACTGAGACGCCACAGCTGAAGCAGATCCCGACAATTATGTCTGGATCCGCCCAGCTGCGTGAGTGACAGCTGGCTCTGCCTATCTAAGGTCAGAGCCAGCTGTACCCGCCCCCTCCCCCGTCTGTTCCGCCAGTCAGCGCTGGCGGATCGGAGCCCCCTGTCACGGCAGAGGGCTGTGACAGGATCGAGAGGTGAGCGAATGTCGGTATGTGTTCGCTCACCTCCCGATCTACTGAGCCGACCTGTGACAGTCTCATTGTCACAGGTCGGCTAGAACTATGAGGTGAGTGAATAGCACTCACCTCATAGTTCTCCTTTAAAAAAAATTTTAGGGGCAGTGGAAAACATTAAAAGGAAATAGAATGTAGCTCTCAGTTGGTCTTTAAAGATGAAAATCAATTAAAGTAAACAGCGGATTCTGCTAATGTTGCACTCTTCTTTCTACAGGCTGCCCTCTCACGAAGGATGTCGCATGATGAAATTGATCTATTCCCCCTTCGCTCAACACCTCTCTTGCTCAGGTGGTCTTCCTCAGATGACATTCGGGGCGGGCCTGGATCCATGCGTGGAAGCAGTCCATCCACCCCCCGTCGGGCTCACGACTTGCCACCTTGGGGCCGCCACCCGAGAAGAGATTCGGACGACGGTCTGAGCACTCTGCACCAGTTCTTGCAAAGCGGCATGGGAGGACCTGCAGGAATGGGCAGCGGCATCCACAATTCCTTCTTTCGAGATGAAATAACTTCCTATATCGATGACACACCCTGCCCTTCACCCCTTGGGACACCCCACCGAGTTCGGTCAACCCCTAGGCCCTCACCACTCCCTAGAAAGGGACATGACGGAGGCATGGCCTGGGCTAGTGTAGGAGAACGACGGCTATCTCTGTGCAGCCCGCCTCTTGCCCTAACCGAAACCCGTAGGTCCTCCTTGTCTGAACGGGGTTGTAAAGGTGGGGCAACATAATGACAAATTCTTCAAGAGCATACAGGGTCGATAACGCTTACCTCCTTTATATCAGCAACCCCGGAACTGAAGATGGTTGCAAATGGACCCTCCCTTTAAATATGTTGTTCTCAGGCATACCAGATGTTATCATGCCTCCTTCGATATCACTTTGCCCCCCTCACAGACACACTACGAATACACTGGAAATTGAGCCAAAAGACAATATAAATAAAATGTGATTTGAGTACCAGTCTGTGTGTTGCAGTCGTGGCACAAAAATACCAGAATGATGGCACAAGAAAGGACAGAAGCATAGAGAAAGAGAGAAGCATAACAATACACCACCAGACTTTTTTTTATATTTTGTATGTAATTTGTTAAACGTATGATTGGAATAATGTTACATGTTTAAGATAGGCAACAGAGCAAAATAATAAAATTGTGAAGTACTGAGGGTAAAGGTCAATAATTGAATTGGATTTACTTTGAAATACCCTTGGGCACATATACTGACCACCAACAAGAGGTTGATTCAGAAAATATTTTTAGTCCAATCTGAATTTATGAAAGTTTCCAATATATTACATAACAAAATGGCAAATAGACATTTCACCATGACAAAAGAAAATACAAAGGAATCAAGTAGGCATTAGACTTGTGTGCCATCAAAAAATTTGTTTAGTTTAGTTTCGTAATATCCGTTATTTCGTATTTCGTAATTCGTGTCCGAAACTCAATTCGGAAGCGTACGAAATACGAATTTTCGTTAGTTTCGGCACATTTTCGTAACTTTACGAACATTCGTTATGATGAAGTTAAAAAGCAAAAATACCTTTGTTAATATTGGAGTCGATGTGGTAGTTGTTTTTTTTTTATCCGAAATACGAATTCCGTTAACAAATTCCGGATCCGAATTTCGTATAAAAAAAAAAACTACCATCATCAACTCCAATATATTAACAAAGGTATTTTGCTTTTTAACTTCAATATAACGAATGTTCGTAACGGAACGAAATTATGTTAATGGAATTTCGTATTTCCTGCCTGTGTATTGTAATGCAACTCTCAGCAGCAGAAGAGACAACCTCTGATTGGTCAACCAAACGAAATACGAATTCCGTTGACGGATTCTGTATTCCGAATTCCGTATTTCGGGCTTTAAAAAAAACTACCATCAACTCCAATATAAATGTACTTTGCTTTTTACCTTCAATATAACGAATGTTCGTAATGGAACGAAAATACGTCAACGGAATTTCGTATTTCCTGCCTGTATTTGAATGCAACCCTCAGCAGCAGCGGATCCGTATTTCGGATTTAAAAAAAAATCTTGTCATGTTGTTCAACCTCATTTAGAGGGGTAATATTAGTTCCTGTTTCAAAGAAATTCGGATCTGAAATTCGTTACAGAATTTCGTATTTCGGATATAATTCGGAAACTGCCATTCGGATTTTGGATGCTTCCGAATTTACGAATTTCAGAAAAATTCGGACGAATTTCGTTTCGTAACGAAACGAATCGCACATGTCTAGTAGGCATACAGAGTCTTCAGGCGAACCTGAAAGCAGCATGAGTTCAGCGTTAACAGCACAGCCCCAGTGGGGGCCCGTTTCATCGCACCGCTCAGTATAATGACCATGTGGTTCAGATCTAGTGTTCGGGAGATGTCCCTGTGAGTAGAGTAGTTACCGCTCCAAGCTCACTCCTGGGATGGACTACAATCTCATGTTTAGTTTCCTAATTTGTAGTGAGATTGTAGTCCATCACGGGAGCGAGCTTGGAGCGGTGACTACTTTACAACACACACAGGGACCATGGGGAACAAAAGTAGCCCCCCTCCAGAAGGAAGGACAGTGTCAGCACCAATTCCGAGATGATTGGAGGATCTACAGACGAGTGATACACAAATAAGATACATTTTTGTTAAGGGACCTGAATGTATTTTTAAAGGAGAACTATGAGGTGAATGCTTTTCACTCACCTCATAGTTCTAGGCGACCTGTGACAATGAGACTGTCACAGGTCAGCTCAGTAGATCGGGAGGTGAGCGAACACATACCGGCGTTCGCTCACCTCTCGATCCTGTCACCACTCTCTGCCGTGACAGGGTAGGGGCTGGATTACCCCCTCCCATCCGCCAGCGCTGACTGGCGGAACGGACGGGGGAGGGGGCGGGTACAGCTGGCTCTGCCTCTAGATAGGCAGAGCCAGCTGTCACTCACGCAGCTGGGCGGATCCCGGCATAATTGTCGAGGTCCGCTTTAGCTGCGGCGTCTCAGTATACCGCGAGCAGCAGCAGCTCGCGGTATAGTGCAGCGTCTCAGTATATATATGCTAAGCCTAGGGTGACGGGAGGACGCTAGTTTGTGTCCTCCGTTACCCTAAGGAGAACTATGGGGAAAAGCCATAACTGCATAGTTCTCCTTTAAGATTTTACTCCTGAGTTTAGTGTCACTTTAAACAGGGCACAGCCCCTCATGCAGCTCCTTCTCAGCACCACCACCCCTGCGCTTTCCTACTGGAAGAGACTAGAGGACAGCCAGCCATGTTACCAGCGGGTAGATGATTGTGTGTGTGCTTATATGTACTTTATGTATGTGTATCTAATGTGTTAGTTTTTTCCTAGGTTAGTGAGCCCCAGCAGGTTAATAAGAGGAAACTCAGGGGTGGAGAGTTCAGATGCATAGACGCAGTGGCGGACCTAATAACCAAAGGGCCCTGGTGCAAGATTTTATCTTGGGCCCCCTCCTAAGACGGATCTGAAACAGCTGATCGGTCTTGAAATGTCACTTCTCTCCGACCGACTGCGATCTCACATTTCACCCCACTCACAAAGTCGGAGAGAAGTGACATTTCAGGACCAATCAGCTGTTCCAGGGCAGATCGGTTCTCCTGCACATGCGATTTGCGATGCCGATCTGCCCTGGAACAGCGGAGAAAGTGTTGGAATGCTTCACCTATTCCACCGCCGAAAAACTGGGCGAGATTACGTTTAAATGTGTGACCATGTCACCGGTCACACATTCTAACGTAGTCTCAATCTGTGATAGAACAGACGCCTGTCTGTAATCATTTAATCAGAGAAATAGATTATAATAGGGAACATTACAGTGACATAGACGGTATCCAGCTTAACATTAAGCACTTTTTGGAACATCCTCTGTTTAGATTATTATAGAGGATTTACAGTATATAGCGCCAACAGTTTGCGCAGCGCTTTACAATAAAGGAAGACATTACAATCACAATACAATTCAAGACAAGATGGTAAGGAGGGCCCTGCCCCAGAGGGCTTACAATGTAAAAGGGAGCGGCAAGTGATACATGAGGAGGTAGATAACAGCAACATTGGCACAAAGCAGCACAGAACAAAGTAAAGAGAATGCATATGACATATTGGAGATGTTTGATAATGGATAGTTATTTATTCTTACTGTTTAAGCCACCAACAACAAGCGGGGTCCCAGCAATTATAAAATGAGTGTGCTCACCTTTATAAACCTTTATAAGAGGTATTTGTATTCCAGCATTGTTAAAACCATCGCAAGAGTAGCACAAAAACATGTTCACATTTGTACAAAATCACTCCCTGTTGGCAGATTTTGGAGTTTTAGAAGTCCTGTAGGGCCGATAACCATTTAGATCAGGCTCATGAAGTTTAAGAAGCTTGTCTAGCATTTGGATTTAAAGGGTGAATACACAAAACAACGCACACACAACTGCATAGAAGGGAAGAACTCTATACACTTTTTTTTTAGTTGCAGATAGATTAGGGAAGGGCTAAAACCCCTGTCAGTTTTTGTTTTACTGTCTGTGTCCCTATTAGGGAGATCTACTTTGAATTTCCACTCTAGTGATCATTTTCTCCGGCAGAGAAAGGGGAGGGGAATGCAAACATTTGGCAGTGTCAACCAAAACAAGAATAGAGGTGATATATTTTAAAGGGGACACTTGTTTTGGTGACAACTGTAAAAGGCAGGATTTCCCCTCATATTGGGCAGATGTCCACCTACTTCCTGTTGAATCTCTAGGGACAGGAAGTGATGGGAAATCTTAACGAGAAAGAATCTTTACAAAAACAGCCTTACAAAAAAAAAAGAAAAAAAAAGTTTTGTCTGGAGTTACAAATTCAATAAAAAAAAACATATTTTGCATTTATTTTCATTTAGGTAAATATAAAATTCTACATAATATTTCATACCTACCACCTACAGTCAGCAGATGGCACTCTTGTCAGGTCTATGTTGTGTGAAGGCTCTTCCTTACATCTGTTGGGCTTAAAATAGACCTGAATCAACCACAAGAGGGGCACACACCCTTTCCTCGTCATGAAAAGGCTATTACTTTGCTAGAGGTAACCAGAGGTCATTGATGCCTAGATGTCCAAGATACATTTTCTTTTAATAGTTATTAATATTTTTAAAAATGTAATCGTATCAGACAGTTACAGTATTGAATAGATATCACTGCAGGTCCCATTGCAGGCTGAAGGTGGCAGTGTGCATTTTGCAGTGAAGCCTGCAGCTTGCATTTGACCAATATGCCATAGCTGACATAGTAATCACATGATCAGGAGCTACTTTGTTTGGTTCTCTGTTGTCAGCATTGGGAAGGAGGTCCTGATTCCTCTATATAGATATTTAGTTATCACTAGAGGGATCTCCAGACATTGAGCTTGCCATTTGAAAAGTAGATCTCCGAACGAAAAATAGTGGGCGCCCCTGCTCTATATAGATCTTAAGTTATCACTAGACGGATCCCCAGCAGGAGGAAGGAGGTCCTGATTCCTCTATGTAGATCTTCAGTTATAACTAGAGGGATCCCCCGCAGGAGGAAGGAGGTCCTGATCCCTCTATATAGATCTTTAGTTATCACTAGTGGGGTCCCCAGCAGGAGGAAGGAGGTCCTGATTCCTCTATATAGATCTTTATTATCACTAGAGGGATCTCCAGCAGGAGGAAGGATGTCCTGATTCCTCTATATAGATCTTTATTATCACTAGAGGGATCAACCGAGACACAGCCTACATGAGAGTGGCAACTCTGCTCTGAATTCAGGAGCAGTGCAGCATCGTTGCCAGACCATTACAAAAAGCTGCATTAGGTGGATATCACTGTCAGGATCAGCAGACATTTGTAGGACTTGAG